TTTTTTTGTGTAAACATGCAAACACATTGCCCTTTTTGATGTTCTTTTGTGTCTGTCTTTTTGATTGAGTTATGAATGTCCATATATAAGTTACTTTCTTCCTAACTCCATTATGAGAAAAGCACAGTCTAGGATGATGATCAGTGACTACTGACCCTTGGCCTCAGTGATAGGAAGAGAATAGGGAGTAGTGAGGGGTATGGAGGTTTGGAAAACTACTCAGTGTTGGAGGACTTATTCCTTGCTGGAATGTGATTTCATTATAGACCTTCTAAATTCTTAAAACTTAAAAATGGTGTAATGTACAAATAGAAAAGTGGGTCTATTTTAAGCATACGACTTGATAAATTTTTCATGGATAGATCATAGATGGAGGAACAGAACAGAATCAGAACCCGTAAGGCCACTCCTTTCCAATTGAGACCTTTCAGTTCTTTTTTAAGAAGAAAGTATTTGGATTCATATGTGAACTCTCAATTGCTAAGTTTTGTCAAGTAATTAAAAACATTAAAAAAAAAATCCCTTGGGCCAAACAAAACACATCTTCTGGCCAGAGTCAGCTCAGAGGGCTACAGCCTGAAACCTCTGGTTTCCATGCTTTTTTTGCTGTCTGGCAGCTCACACAGCTCTTTTCCATCTAGCGGGGTGGGCAGCCATGTTTGTACTGCATGATACCAGCCAAGGTTGACTGGGTCTTTCTCTGGGACTCTGGAAATGGGACACTGTAATTCTCTTTATCCTGGTGATGGTGCCGAAAATGGCTCCAGGACTAGAGCAGGCCCTATTCCACCATTCACTGAGGAGCAGAGAAAGCTGATGCGCACAGCAAGAATGAAGCAGACATGTAGAAAGAGAGAGTGGGAGAAGCTGCTTGGCTCCCCAGTGGTTTTCTAGTTTCCCAGTTCTTGGTTCTAGCCCTTCCTGAGGCCAGTACAGACAAGGCTGAGGAGCTAATTAGGCTGGTAGGCTTCTCCAAGAATTCAAGAGGAACAATCAGGTGGGTGGATCACATTAAGTGATACTGGTGACAGCCAAGATCTGGCAGTCAAGTGGGTGGGGGGTCTCCATGTGAGAGGCCTCTGTACTCAGTTATGTTCTAGGCCAGTGGGCTGGGATCAGGGGTAGAAGGCCCAGCAGGCAAATAAAAGATGTATATTCCCCCAGGTGAGCATGTAACTGAGTTCTAGGTTAAGAAATGTTGGAGACTGGTTGATTATTTCCAATTCTCTACTGCCTCTCTGCAGTGGAATTATACACCCATGCCCTTTGCCATATGGTTTTGCGTACATTCTACTAGATGAGGTAGAGCCTATATTCCCATCCCGCCAAATGCAGGCTTGGCCAGTTACCTTGCTTTGGCTAATGGGAATATAGATGGACTTGACAACGAGCCAGTTCTGAAATGAGGCCTTCAGGGTCATGGAAAGCTTCCACTAGCCCCTTTTAGTGCTACTTCCATATGTAATGAGAAGAGCCTATCCCAAGCAGCTGCTGGTTCTAGGAAAGATACATGGAACTAATCTGTACCCAACCCACCACCTGAATCACAGCCCCTCCACCCAACCCACACACAGATTGTGAGTGAAGAAAATAAATGTTTGTTTTTATAAGCCTCTAAAATTATGACATGGTTTATTACATTGTATTATCACAGCAATGGCTGACTTACACAGAGGCGAATTGGGTCCTAGGCAAAATCAGGGACAGAAGAGCCTGATTGTATCAGAATGGGCCCAGGAGAGGGGAGAGGAGAGCTCAGGCTCAGAGGCAACATGAGCAGGAATGTGGGTTCTTAGAGGTCATTCCAGAGGGCACCAGATCCATGTATGATTGGAAAAGGGAAATGAGAGTGGTCTGGGGGAAATACCTGTCACCTCATTGATCATCTGGCTTGAAGGAAAATCAGGAGGAACACAGGAGCCAAGTAGTTGTAACAGAGCTGGTGACATTATTCTAAGCTGTTGTGTCTGCTCAAACTTTTCATACTCCCTAGATCCGTCAGCATTGACTCAGGAGCTGTGAGCATTGTTGGATCTAGTTGTGAGGATCCTGGGAAAGAAGCAGCAGGAAAAATAAAAGAGGACACCAGCAATGCGGCTCTCAAATGCTTACAATTGTGAGTGCGTGTGTGTGGCTATCGGTGGCTCTTCTTTTATAAGTCTGATGGCTGCTTTCTACCTACCTGCTTGCTGTTTTTGTGGACATCTCAGCCTGGAGTGGGTTTGAGGCTGGGAGGCTCAAACATATTCTGACCACATTCACCAGCTTTCTGAGAACTTGCCAGCTCAGATGAAGCCTGTGAAACCACACACCAATAGGACAACTAGATGAACAGGGCACAATGAGGTGGCCGGTTATACATGCTGCCACAGCAGAGGATGCTGGGCAGTAGCACAGATGGGGTGTTTCTGATTTTCCTTCTTGAAATTCCTCTTCCCAGGGGCTTCCAAGCTCAGGAAGCCCTTGTCATCTCCTAATCGAGGCAGATGAAGATGGGAGTTCTGTAGAGAGGCGTTTCCACTTAATCAAGGCCAGTCATAGCCAAGCTCTAGGATTAGACAGAGATCTGCAGATGTGCGCAGTTGCCTGGGCAGCCTGTTTTCTGTCTTTGGTACCTTGTTATCTGGCCCTTCTCTGAATTCCTGTAGCTTTTCCATGACTTAAACAATGAGATTAACAGCTATCATTTTTTGAATGCCTACCATATGCTAGGCTCTCTAGCAGATCTTTTACAAGTTTTATTGATAATAACAGCAAAGATAACTAATATTTGTTAAGCATTTGCTAGGTGCCAGGCACTATGCCAAGCCCTATGTTTGTATTAACTCATTGAGAATCCTCACAACGAGGCAACATGGGCGTCATTATTTTTATACACAAATAACAAACGGTGGAGCTAACTCTACCATTTGGATATAGATCGGCTGACTCCAGGGCTTTTACTTTTTCATTTGTGATGCTCTCTTGCTTGATCTTGCTCTCTAGCCATGCCAGGACACTGCTGTGCAGTTGTGCACCATAGGGTGGGGCAGATGCAGAGGTTGTGCTGTGGAGTTAGATCAGGAGGATGATCAGGAGCATGGCAGAAATCAGGAGTCAGATCTAACTGCATGGCAGTTAGATCAGGAATTAGATCAGGAGCATGGCAGAAATCCAGTGAGTTGCTCATGAAGGGGACAGGGATAAGGTTCGAAAAGAAGCCCTAAAAGGCAAGAGGAGCAGAGGGAAAGACAGCCCAGAAGCCATCAGATGTCCTGGCAGGCAGTCCAGGGGCAGGACAGCAGATCCTGGAGGAGACAGAGCTGGCCAGTACACAGCTTGTAGTTCTGGGTTTGCCCTTCACTAACTTTTGGGCAAATTACTTACCTGCCCTCAGCATTAGTTTCTTCATTTGTAAAATGGGCATAAAGAAACACTCCTTCATAGAGTTGAAACCATAACTGAATGAGATAGCAAACATAAAGCACCCGTGGCAGTGCCTAGTACTGAGGATGTGCTCTGTACATAGATTGCTACTTTTCTGAGGCAGGGGCTCCGGCACAGAGACAGGGAGAGCCCAGGCTATCATAACAAAGGCAAATAAAGTGCCGCAGGAGCAGCATTCTAACTAACCTTCTGACTGAGATTAGTGTTTGTTTGAGAGGCTGCAATGGGATTAAGTGACCTCATTTCCATACAGAGGAGGGTGGCTGAACTGAGTGAACAAGCAGGCACTGCTTTTCATAGACGGGTGTTGAAATCCCAGTCCCATACAGCTGACAGGCTTTTGTTCAGGACTTTGGACTTCCAGTCTGATGTCCTTTCAATGATACTGTGCTACTGGTAAATAAACACTTGACGTAGAATATATTCAAGTTCAAGCATGTCAATGGTACATGCACTGTAATGGTGCTGAAACACTGCAAAGTCCTCGATGTTCCTCCCACTAAGAGGTAGCACTGAATTCCTCCCCCCTTGACCATGGACCAACCTCAGTGACTTGCTTCTAAGGAAGAGAATATGGCAAAAGTGATGCTGTGTGTCTGCTAAGGTTGTTGAGAGAAGGTGACACAGCTTTCATCTGGCCCTGTCTCCTGGGATGCTTGCCTTTGAAACCAGTTGCTATGTTAGGAGAAAGCTCAGGCTACACAGAGTCCATGTGAAATTTTGGACCAGCAGCCCCACCTAAGGTCTCAGCTAACAGCGAGCATCAATTGTCAGACAAATGAGTACATGAGAATTCAGATCATCCTTGAAATATCCCAGCTGATACCAAGTGGAGCAGGGATGAGCTGTTCTCAACAAGCCCTGCCCAAATTGCTGATTCACGAGCCAAATAAATGTTGTTTTCAGCCAATAGGTTGTGGGTGGTTTGTTTTGTAGCAGTAAGTGAATGGATCACGCACAAACATAGTAGAGAACAGAGGAGAAGCAGCAGGGTCCGGTCTTAAGAGCTTGTGTTCCAGAGTCATGCAGTTCATTCTCCAGTTGGAGCTCCATGTGCTTGCTGGGAAAGTTTTATACCTGTTCAAGACTGTTTTGTCCTCTGTATGATGTTAAGATTGTTGTATTGGTTTGCCAAGGCTTCCATAACAAGATACCATGATTGGGTGGCTTAAACAACAGAAACGTATTTTCTCATAACTCTGGAGGCAGGAAGTCCAGTAGCAAGGTACTGGCAGGTTTGGTTTCTTCCAAGACCCCTCTCCTTGGCTTGAGGATGGCTGCCTTCTCGATATGTCCTTGCCTCCCAGCATGTGCCGCAGGATGTTCACATTTCCTCTTCTCTAAGGAGACCAATCCTATCGGATTAGGGCCCACCCTGATTAGGATTCACTTTAACTTAATCATCTGTTTTAAGGTTGTATCTCCAAACACAGTCATTTAGAAATACTAGGGGTTAGGACTTTAACATAGGAGTCTTGTGGAGAGGTGGGGAGGGGGTAGATACAGTTCAGCCTGTGACAATGGTTACGAAGATTAAATGAGGTAAAACATATATAAAGAATAGGTTGCTGATAGACACATGGTGTTTAATAAATAATGACCATTATTATATATGTCATCAACCTGATCAATTATACCTGATACATGCAAAAAGGGGAACACCACTATGCATGCCCTGGGGGAAGCTGTGTATTCCTGTCACTTGGATGATAAGAGAGATAAGCTCTCAACTAAGCACACTATGTCCCTCCAGCTGCTAACCTGGGTCCCCAGCTTAGTGATGGTGGCAAGAGGGGGGCTGAGGAGTCCCCTCTAGAGGGAAGAAGCAGCATTATTTCTTGACCCTCAGAGACATCTTCTGCCTTTGGGGCTCCCTGCTTAAGCCTGGAAGATCCCAGGGTGATCTCAGATAAGGACAGACTTGGGACAGTGTACAAAAGAGAAGTTACTATCTGTCTGTAGTTGCCTGGGTGCTCCAGAACTGACCCTTGGAGACATCCCCACTGGAGGCAATTTGGAAAAGGTATTAGAGAAAGTCTCCATGCAGAAAACATTTCTGCCAAGTCCTTTGTTTTCCTAATGTTGCCGCAGTGTCTGGAGCTGAATTTTAAAAATGGCATTTTCCTGGAAAGGATTTTTTGGTCTTTTTTGGAAATGTCTCATGTAAAACAAGATCACCAGTGGGCTGTTGGGTCTGGTCTCCCCGAGGCCAGCTTGGGAAATGGCAAGTGGGGGAGGGGGAGTCTGGATGGGAAAAAACAAAAAACAGAGTTGGAGGGAAAGCGGGACGGGGCCAGCATTCCTGCGTTGGGAATAGGCTCAGAGCTCAGGATCTGTTCCAGCGGGTAAGGCATCGGGGCAGGGAGGGAGGAAGGGTCGGGAGGACGGAGATGGGGCCCTTGACAGCAGGGCTGTGGGAAGGTCCCCTGAGAGCCTCCATTCATCACAGAAATGGACCTGTCCCAGGGCCTGCCACTTCCTTCACTCCCTTGTATTACACAGCTGAGAAGGCAAGAATGATACGAGGGCCCTGTCTCCTCCCTGAGACTGGATTTCCTTCCTGAAGAGAGGAACTGTCAGTGGCATTCATTCTAGGGCTCTAAGAGGGTTGAGTGTATCTTCCCATTAGACTGGAGGGTCCCCAAGTACAGGGACCCTGTCCCTCCTTGACCTAAGGAATCCCTAGAGCTGGGAACTCCCTCTGGGAGGAGCTTGGTTTGTGACCTGCCTGACCCAGTGACCTACTCACAGCCGCCTCTCCATCCTTGGATGCACAGGTAAGACGTGCTGACTAAAAGTCACTGCCGCGAGCAGCTCATTGCCACCTTCCTCCAGGCCCAGCGCCAGGGCTATTCCTGTGGCCAGGTGGAATTTCTGTGGCAGGAAGCTTCTTAGAAGCTCTTTGCAGAGCTGGCTTCCATCCTGTAGGCCTCTGTGTCACTCTTCTGTCCGTTCCTCAGCCTGCCTGTGCCTCTCAGGCCCAGCCTCAGGTCCCCTGGGTTTGTGGTGACCCTGGGCCACAGACTGGAATAAGGACAAAGAGCAGAGAAATGGGTAAATTAAGAATCACTGAATCTCTGAATTAGAAGCCACTCTAGAGGTAGTTTTATCCATTTTCTTGTCTGTATGGTTAATTCATACAGTGGACACTAATGAACGCCTGTTCAGTGCCAGGCTCTGCTTCAGACATCAGGTACATAAATGGTGGACAAAGCAGTCGTGGTTCCTGCCCCATGGGGCTAAGTGTCTGATATTTGAATATTTGGACAATAGTCTTATTAAGGAGCCATACAAATTCTGCTTAGAAAACCATGTTTTTGGAGTTCTCCCTACCTCCCAGGCAGCCTATTTCAATTTTGGACAGTTCTGAAAGTTGTAGAAGTCCCTCCATAGACTGAGTCAAAGTCCTTCCCCTTCATAACTTTCACTCTCTTGTCTCAACCTACTTTCACATCTACCCAGGACAATAAGCCTCTCCCCGTCCCCCTGAAAATCCCTCACCGTGGTGGTGCATCTGTTAGTTTTTCTTTTGTTTTATTTTTGGCTATGTTATTAGGTATATTCATGTTCAGCGTTTTATTTTTCTGGAGAATTCTTTTTATCATTTTGTAATTGTTTATTTTTTCTGACTTTAAAATTGCTTCATTGCTTGGCTTCAAAGTTGTGGGTTCCCACCACCCTCCCATTTCAGGTTCAATTATTGGCTAGAAGGTCTCACAGAACTCTGGAAGATACTTTACTTACTGTCACTGGTTTTTTTTGGATAATGATTGCTTGGTATATTTTTTCTGATCTCATTTCAATAATTCTGTGTTACTATATTTTAAGTGTGTCTACTAGAAAAAACAAAAGGCTAAATTTCTTATTTGATTTTATTTCTTTTAACAAGCAATTTTAATTCTTTACATTGACTACATTTATTAGAATACAGTTATGACTGGTATATATTGATATCTTCATGTTTTTGTTTTAATCTCTCCTTTGCTTTTTTTTCTATTAGTTTACTGGCAATTTCATATATATTTTTTCCTTTACTGTTTTAAAAGTTACATACATTTGAATTCTCTCCTTAGAGTGGTTAATTCTTAAATTTTTAACATTCTATGAATGTCACCAATTTTAAACTGTTTTTACTTACACTTCTGACATCAAATGGGTGGGTTTTTTTATGCTCACAACTCTTTCCAAGCCTCTGGGCACCAGCTGGGTGTCCTTCAATTCAGTTCAATTCTGACACTTACTAACTGAAGTTAGTGTCAAGACTCCACAGGTATACTGGCCCAGTCCCACAAGCCTGCCCTCACTTCAGATGCCTATTACAAACTGGGTGCCCAAGATACTACCACTTCTGTCTGACTTGGCTACAAAGTTGTGGATTCCCACCACCTTCCCACAGTAATTGGAAAGCCTCACAGAACCCTGGAAGGTACTTTGCTGACTGTCACTGTTTTTTTCGTTTTGTTTTGTTTGTTTGTTTTTTTGGTAAAGGAGCAGATGAATGGCCAGATGAAGAGGTACAGAGGACAATGTCCAGGTGGGTCCCAAGCACAAGACTTCTGTCATGTGAGGTCGGGATCTGCCACCTTCCCAGCACATGGATGTGTTTGCCAACTCTGAAACTCGCTGAATCCCTTCATGTAGGAGTTTTTAATGGGAGTTTCATTATGTAGGCAAGATTAATGAAATCATTGGGCATTGGTGTTGAACTCAACCTTCAACACCTCTCTGCTCCCTGGAGGCTATGGGTGGAGTGAGGATGAAAGTTTCAAACCTCTAATCGGGTCCTGGTCTTTCAGGTGACCAAGGCTCCTGAATCTACCCAGATGCCCTCAACTCTCAGTCCTCTTATTAACATACAAAAGATCTCACCACTCCATAGATGCTAAGGGTTTTAGGAACCAGGACAATCAGCCAGGAACCAGGGACAAAGATCAAATACTTATTTTTTACTCTATCACATTGGACAATTTAGGTTTACACTTGGCTGCACATCATAGAAAACAGTGGATTAAAAGAGCTAGTACACATCTTTAAGGATATCATCAAAGACCCAGAGTTTTAAAATTTAATTATCCTTTTCTCTTATCCTTAGTATGTGACTTTGTCCTCTCTTCATGGGTGCAGGGTGTCTGTTGTTCCTCCAGGCATTTTGTCTTGATTTTAGGTAGGAAGAAGAGAAAATGGTAACGGGTAAAGGGCAAAGCATTCTTTTTGGAAGTCAACCAGTAGGCTTCTGTTTATATTTCATTTGCCAGAACTGCAATACATTGTTACCTCAGCCTCAGGAGAATGTGGGAAGGTGTGTATTTTTAGCTGGGCACAGTGCTGCCCTGTGAAAAATCAAGATTCTATTATAAGAAAGAGACTGTATACTGTGCGAGCTGCTATGAGTATATATAATTCATGCATATTACTGTAACAATTTTACAACTAATTAGACTATCCTTAGGATGTTCTTACTCTAATTACTCCATCCTACGTTTTGTAAGTATTAGATAGGCATCAGAACAGGATCGTATCTCATAAAACAAAACAAAACAAACAAGACAAAGTTTTTGGTATACTTTGTCTTGTTTGTTTTGTTTTGTTTTATGAGATACGGTCCTGTTTTGATGCCCAGGCTGGATTGCAGTGGCATGATCATAGCTCACTGCAGCCTGGAATTCCTGGGCTCACGTGATCCTCCTGCCTCAGCCTCCTGAGTAGCTGGGACTACAGGCACACACCACCACCACACCTGGCTAATTTTGTGTGTGTGTGTGTGTGTGTGTGTGTGTGTGTGTGTGTGTGTGTGTTTTATTTTTATAGTGACAGGGTCTTGTTATGTTGCCAGGGCTGTTCTCCCACTCTGGCCTCAAGTGATCCTCCTCCTTTAGCCTCCCAAAGTGCTGGGATTACAGGCATGAGCTACCATGCCCAGCCCCACTTTGTCTTTAAATGCCACAAAAATCAGACAGTAGTATTGTTACTGCTATTTTACAGTCAATTTTTGTCTAGCTTCTCCCCCTGTGTTCATCCATTTCTTCACTTACCATTGATTTTTCCACCCTTCTCCTTCCTCTCAGCTCAATTTTTCTTCTAGAAGTGATAAATTGTCTTGCTTTTTCTGAAGATGTGATTTAAAAAAAATCTCCACTCTTGAATGATAGTTAATCTTGACTGGGCATTCTACAGTGATAGGTTTTTTTTTTTTTTTTTCCAGCATAGAAAAATTACTGGATTGGTCTCTTTTGCTGATGCCAAGTCTGCTATTTTTTCTTATGGATGATCTCTCTTTTCTTCTTGATGATTTTATAATTTTTCTCTGTCAGTCATGTTCTGAAGTTTCACTGTAATGAGCTTTGTTGTAGTTTTCTACTTATTTATCTTGCTCATAATTCCAAGAGCTTCTTCAGTTGAAGCTCTACGCCTTTCATCAATGTAAGGATTCTCAGCCATTAGCTCTGAATATTGCATCTCCTTCCTTCTCTCCAGTTTCTCTCTTAACATTCATGTTAGATTTAGGTTGGACCTTCATATTCTATCCTTCATGTCCTGTATTTTCTCTGTATTTATTTATTTTAATTGTTTAATGCTGTATTCTGGAAAATTTTCCAAGATCCATTTTTGGTTTATGAAGCCTCTCTTCAGTTTTGTCTAATCTGCTACTTAATCCTTTGACTGTATCTTTTATTTACAGAAGCACTACGTTACTTTTTCAAACTTATCTTTAGAAGAAATATTCTATTGCACTTTATGGTTTCTATTCTTTATTTACTTTAGATTATTTTATTTTAAATTCTTGAGGTGACATTTAAATTCTTGAGGTAACAATACTTTTGTCTTCTAGTCTTTTCTATGGTGGTTCATTTCCTCAGGTGGTTTGTAATTTTTGGTTGTGAATTTATCTTTAGCTGCTTTTCCCCTTGGGATAGGTAGGACCCTCTGTAGAGAAGTTTTCTATTCTTCTAGAATTTTTCTATGTGCCCCAGGGAGACTGTCAAGGACAAATTCTTACACTATGAATATAATTTTTTTGATTTGGGATTCAGATACTAGGTTGTGAGGGTTAATTTTATGCATCAACTTGACTAGGCTATGGTACCCAGTTTTTGGTCAAACACCTGTGTAGGTGTTGCTGTGAAGATATTGTTTTAAAGTTGTGATTAACATTTAAATCAGTGGGCATTGAGTAGAGCAAATTACCACCCATAATGTGGATGAGCCTCATCTAGTCGCTTGAAGGCCTGAAAAGGAAAAGAAGGAACTCTGCCTCTAGACTGCCTTTGGACTTGAGCTATGATACTATCTCTTCCCTGGGTCTCTAATTTGATGGCTTGACCTGAGGATTGTGGATTTGCCAGTCCCAACAATTGTGTGACCTAATTCCTTAAAATCAATCTCTCTCTCCCTCCCTCTATCCCCTTCTCTCTCTCCCTTACCTCATCTTTGTCCTATTGCTTCTTTCTCTGGAGAACCTTGATCAACATATCAGGTAAGCAGTGTAAATTTCTGGAACACAGTTGTGTTTGGTATAGATCTGAAGTTGTGTGGGCATCAAAACTCTAGCCTCTAAACATTAGAACCTATGTTTGGATAAATATAATCAAGACATCAGCGGAGGTTTTCCACTCTGACTAGGAGTTCTCTTTCTAATTACTGGCACCTAGAGATTTTACTTTATTTAGAGACAGAGTCTTGCTTTGTCACCCAGGCTAGAGTGCAGTGGCACAGCCTTGGCTCACTGCAACCTCCACCTCCTGTGTTCAAGTGATTCATATGCTTCAGCCTCCCAAGTAGCTGGGATTACAGGTGTGTGCCACCATGCCTGGCTAATTTTTGGGTGTTTTTAGTAGAGATGGGGTTTCACCATGTTGGCCAGGCTGGTCTTGGAACTCCTGGCCTCAAGTAATTCATCTACCTTGGCCTCCCAGAGTACTGGGATTACAGGCATGAGCCACCATGCCCAGCCAATTTGACCAATTTTATGAGCTTAGTTATATTTATAATTTTTTTGCTATGTATTACCAGTTTTTTAATGAGTT